GTCTGGCCTACTTAAAATATATTGCTGAGAATATATTTTTTGTTTTTCCTTGTGGCCTCTTTCTTTGCTTAGGAGGCTACCTCGTCAGTACATGTTTGTTTTTGTAGTATTGTATATAGTTAGCTTATTGTGTTGAGTGAGTAGCCCCTGATACGCCAAAGTATAAGTTTGTATTTTCTTTTATCTTGCTATCTGCCTCATTTAAATATCTCGAATTGTAATAAACAGGTAAACTGTTGTTTCATCGTTTTTGTTGTGTATAAAGTGATAGTTATTGTATCGTAAGCTTCGTACCGCGATACGTATCATTTCATGAGGTATGTGTATCGTTGCAGCCCTTGTCTACAATGTTACTTGATGAGAAATATTGTTCAATGTTGCATTGAATTAACTACAATAAATTATGTGAAAATAACATTGGTGCAGAAATCAGCCTATTTATAGTATACATACTCTTTATCTCTCTGTAGTGTAGCATTCAACTTTGAAATCAAACATGTTTTGCTCTCGATAAACATATTTCCCCACACCTTTTGCTCTCTGCACCCCTGGAATATGTCATACCAAGATTGAAGGCACTAGCTAGCTATTTGATTGATCTCAGGTAAAAAAACAACTGACCAATTGCTAGGCTGCTACCTGTCCTTTGAAAATTAGAGAGGAATGACACCCGACTTCAAAGCCAGTCAACTTTCCATCAAGCAACCAACTGATTTTTTTTGATGTACACCAAAGGATCAAACTAGTCTTCTCGTCTCATTCATAAGGTGCTGCACACTGAGCCTTAAATTTTGCTATGATATACAAATGTATTCCAGGGGTGCATAGAGTGAAAGTGATTGTAACCCCTGGAGTATCGAGGATGCCTGGGTATATGACAGGGCAAAATCGAAAGAAATATTGACCAATCGCCAAGCCGATAGCAGTGTTTTGAAGTTTACAGAGGAGTGACACCCGATTATAAGGCCGTCAGTTATAACAATATGCTGCCACACTATATTTCACATGTACATCAGAGGATCCAACTATGTCTAATTGTATCATCCTAGGTGTAAGGGGGTCGTGGTGGTGGTGGAACCCTTTGATTTCAAAGATGTGTAGCATTGTGTATAGACTATATGTATACTAAGCATGAGCTTCACACTCATTTTGGCTTTAGCTTTAAATTTCCTTTTCTTTTGTCTCATTTTACCAGATTACAGAGAAAAAGTTCTGGTTATTTCGAAAAAAATCCTGCTCAAGGATTTCCGATATCCACAGAATTCCTGCAGTTCAATTTACATTGTTTTAATGACATGTTAATAACCTTCCTCTGCTTCACTCTGATAATAAAAAATAATAATAAAAAAAAAAGAGGTCTTTGTGACGAGGCAGGCAATATGGTTGTAGATAACTTGAAAACTAATTTGGTCATAGAAACTTAAGAATATTATCTATTAAATGATAAAAAAAGGAAAAATAATCAAATTTAACAATTACTGTTTGTTGATAATGTAATAGTTAATGATGTAAGGTCGTGTAAGTGAACATTATATCTACTTGGGTACTGATCTGTAATTACATTCCATGTGGGGATAGGTAGAAGATACTTTTCAACGAAGCCACAAATAAACTAGGTTCTGATTATGTTTACCTTAAGCTTGCATCATGTCCTTGTCTTATAGATGCAGTGGAAAAAAAGCAGAATTACAATGTTGATATAGATTTTGGGTATACAATTTAATTGCCTTCTTTTTAGCTTTCTATAAACTTTGTTGATCCTGGTGAATTTGTCGAATTTATCGTTACTTTATATACAGCACCAAGGTTAGGTAACAGGACAAATATTTACTTGCGTACATCTCGAGGTACGGGAAATTCCTAACTAACGGTGGTTTGTAATCATAAAAACAACATATAATCAGCTTTTAATGGGTTCATATTAACTCTACAAAACAAAACTTTAATGGTTTGATAGTAACTCTATCAGGTTTTAATGGATTGACCCTTTTGTAATAATCTTCTAATGGGTTTATATTAACTCTACAAATCACAAATTTAATGGTTTGATAGTAGCCCTACAAAACAAACTTTTAATGTGTTGTACATTTCTCAAAAACATTATTTTAATGGCATATTAGCTCAACAAATCAAGTTAAATAATTTGCCCTTTTGTAACAAACTTCTAATGGGTTGATATTAGCCCTACAAATAAATGATTAAAGTTTTGATATTAACTGTACATTTATTTTTTATGCAAGACATTTTAGCATACTGATAAGAGGATGATGTCAATAATTGGGGATTTTGTGATTATAATCTAATTGTAACTAAATTGATTGATGCAACTTTGCTGATATGTTTGAAAAACTATTTTGCTGAACTTTTAATCTTTTGATTTTATTACTTGTCATAGCCATTTGGTAATTGTCTTCATACATCAGTCAAATTATTTAAAATTTAAAGAAAGAAAATCTTGATTAGAATATGTATCACATGTCATATAATTACAGTGTGACATTACTTTGGCGTATGAACACAGTGTGTAGTAAGATTCACAATTTGTTATCAAAAGTTAAGAAAACAAGTAGTAAAAATCAGTTAATATTTATCAGTCAAAGGAAACTTGAATAAATGTGGAACATGTAAGCATTGACCTGATATTTCATTCTTACGCTGTGAAAAAAGGTTGTTACATGGTGTGATTTGTGGTACAGATTACTTGCCTAATTACTGCTCCTGTTGTTTGTTAATCACTTATTTAAAAAATTCTAGTAGCTTTTAGCTTGCTGTCATATAATGTCTTGACTTTCTGATTTACTAACAGTAAATTATGGATGATTTAAATCAAATTATTTCACGTGAAGGAATTATCTCCCTTTGTTTGTAAATCAATATTCCAATATCGTGAAAATATGCAGATGAAATAATTTGTTCCATCATTTAAGAAATGTTTACACAAGTCAGTGAGATAAGAATTATTTGCACATTATTAAACAGTTTATTTACAAGCATTATATAGTATCTGCCTTCACAAATATATATCAGTGTCAGAGAAAAAATAGTTAAAAATTCTACAATTGCGGTGAAGCCAATGTGAAATAAAAGTGATGGTTGTTTATTGGGGTTACAGGGCTTGACAGTTTCCGGGAGAGAGAATTTGGGGGCGGGGATTTCAGCAAAAAGGATGTTAGCCTGCTGTCTCCAACCCAGGGGATGATGATGCCCACTGCCACACAGAACCTGCTCAACCCCCTGGGGCTCCTCCATTCCACCCCTGGACTCACTGGTCACCACATTCTCACTGTTAATAACTTCAACAAGGACCAGGTAACGTCACACAATGAGAACTCGGCTCAGTAAGTCAGAGCCTGCATACTTGCCAATATTTTGAAAATTCCATCAGGGAAATTCCCCATGCTCAAAGTTAAAATATAAATGAATTTTTTGTATAAACCCCTAGGGAAAAAATAACACTTTCAGATGGCTTATTTTGATTTGCACAGATGAAATAATTTGATCTTAAAATGTAGGAGTAGTTCAACAAATTCAATGGTTGGAAATATTAAAATCAAGGGTCCAAATTGGGAGTATCCTCCTAAATAGGGAGTTGGTATGTTCATGTACCTATAGGCAGTATCTGTTGGCTTCTCAAATTTCTCTTTTCCTAAGGCGTTTTTCTGCAATACAGTAGACTTTCTAGGGGGTCTCTCGATTTAAAAAAAAAAAAAAAATCCGCTATAGACAAACTTTCCAACAACTTTTATATCATACATTGGTTTTAAACTGAAGATAACATTTTTGATCAGGGACCAGAGGCATTGTTGCTCATCCTTTCTATTTGTATTATATAACCTGTGTTAGAATTTGTCAGTTGAGGTAGGGAAATCATATACACACTGTTTTCTGTGGCAGCTTCATCATCTGTTTAACCTGGCCCATCAGCTGAGGATCTCGGTAATGAGAGACAAACACCTGGACTATGTACTGAAGGTAAAGACTTGTCACACAAACACTTTATANTCCTATCTGAAGACATTATAATAGGTTACATTTAATTATAAAGTATACTACCAAGTATGATAAATTCAGTACGGATGGTAGCAATATAAATACAGATAGATAGAATGAAATTTATCAGTTTAAACTACGCTTATATACATAAGCTTCATTTTAAACTGAACAAATTACAAGAATATAAAGTTACAGTATATACATTTATTACACAACACATGACATAACATGATTATATGACAAATAATTAAAAACATATACATTCATATAACAAACTACATAACTATGTTTGGCGAAAGGGGCAACTCAGTTACTACAAAATAAACTAAATATCCTTCTCCTGGATTTGTCGTCAGAAGAAGGATAGCATGTAGTGTCCAGTTAAATATCCTCATCTTAAAAATCTAGCGGACCATCAACAATGCAGTGTTGGAACAGTTTACGTACTTGGCTAGAGCTACTGATGAGTATGACAGAAGAGGATAATAACTGGACATCATGTATATTGTAATGAGCTATACCCCATCACGGTGTAGCTTGCTGAGCTACCAGGTCCGGATGAGGAATAGGCGTCGGTATGGTTATACAGATATATAGATAGATGATCATCCTGTATTACACTATTCCTCATCTCGGTGCAGCTTGATGAGCTACCAGGTCTGATTAAGGAATAGTAGTGTGACGATTGTAAACTTCTAGTACTTCTATTTCCAAAACAAATTACCTAAACCTCGTTTGTTGCAACTTGATGAGCTACATGTAATATCCCGAATAAGGTTTAAGATGAAAGAAATGTTTGAGACAAATTACAGTTAATATCCCTAATCCTCTGCTTCTGTATCTAGAATGATACACCAGCAACGAGAATTTGGATACTGATGAATTCAATCGATCTCTACATATAATAATTTTGGGGATGAAATGAGAATTTAGAATTTATTAACAACAATTTTGAATGAAAAGTCCAAAACTCAGTTAAGTGATACCTATACTGAATTGAACTGAGTGCCCCAAAATTGATTGTGTATAAAGGAAACATTAATATTTGTCTCCTCTCAATGTTACTTTACAATTGTTGATTATGTATAAAGGAAACATGAATATTTATACTCCTTTCAATGTAACTTTACAATTGTTGATTATGTATAAAGGAAACATGAATATTTGTCTCCTCTCAATGTTACTTTACAATTGTTGATTATGTATAAAGGAAACATGAATATTTATTCTCCTTTCAATGTTACTTTACAATTGTTGATTATTTATAAAGGAAACATTAATATTTGTCTCCTATCAATGTTCACTTTACAATTATTGATTGTGTATAGGAAACATGATTATTTGTCTCCTCTCAATTCAATATTCACTTTATTAATATTTGGGAATCAAATATCCATGTTTGTGTTGTAGAGAACCAAAACAGACTTTATCATACACTAAACAGAATTAAATCACAAATTTAGGAAAAAAATATAGATTTGAATAAGAGTTTCAATAGTTTATAATGTACTATGAAGTAAAACTTGATCCAAAATAAATAAAAATTTTGATGTAATGGGATTTATCTGATTAAGTCAGATCTATTGCTAAAGGGATGAGGTTTACAGGAGGGAGACTGTTCCCGTATAAGTCATGTTATTTTTCCTGTTTATCCTAACTTGAGAAAGTTAATTTCAAATTATATAAAGACACCAGGTTTACCAAGTGTCTTCTACAATTTGAAAATTAACAAATGAGAGATAAACATGATTATCAACCATCATGAAATTGGGGACCTTTTTCTCTTACAACCACAACATCATAACATAAGATGACGTCTCGAAGCTTTTGTAGCTCACCTGGCCAGAAGGTCCAAGTGAGCTAATGCCGTGGTGTGGGCGTCTGTCCATCGTCCGGCTGTCCGCCGTCAATATTTTACTTTAAACAACTTCTTCTCAATAACCAAGAGGCCTAGGGTGATGATATTTGGCCTGTAGTAGACTGGAAAGAAGGGCTACAGATGTTGTTCAAATAAATGAACTTCACCTAGTTTCAAGGTCACAGGGGTCAAATGTTAAAAACCTCAAACAACAATATCTTAAGAACCATTTGGACTAGAGTCATGATACTTGGGTATGTTATGTAGACCAGCTGTGTGAATTGTTTTCTTTATTAAAGTAATGAAGTCAAAGGTCAACTTTAAGTGCAAGTCGGGAGTCAAATGTCAATGTGGGTTAAAAGCTCTAAATTTAAATTTCAAGTTTCAAACAACAATATCTTCGGAACCATTTTAGAGATGTTAAAATGTCTTGTGTTTTAGTTACCAAATTTGGTCTTAAGTTACCTATATGTCAGTTTCATGTAACAAAAGAAACAGGTGAGCGATACAGGCCCTCTGGGCCTCTTGTTACTTGACGTTATAATTACCAAGACTGACCAATAAAATAAAGTCCAAGGTGTTACCCATTAATAAGTAACCAAAAATGTTTCCTAAGTTCTATCAGGTTTATCTAATGAGTTGGGAGTAAAAATTGGTTGTGGGATAAATAAAAGCTATCAAGCTCTAAAAATACAAATATTTCTCTTGTAAATTTGGAAAATGTTACATAGCACCAATTCTGATGTAATAGTAGGCAGGATCAGAGCTAATCCCTGTCCCTCAACACAATAAGTTGATATTATTTGTTCACAAAGAATGTTTCTTTTTTATACAACAGGGAGATAACTCAGCTGAACTTGTTCAGTACCCCATCCACTTCCTTGTTAAACTTCTACTACTGAAAAGAAAAACATTAGCTAGGACAAAAACTGTTCAATTTATAACCTTGTACTATTATTATATGTCCAGTCTGAAATGACCTTGACCTTCACTTTGACTCAGGGAAAGGTGATGGCATCCATGTTTTATGAAGCAAGTACAAGAACAAGCTGTTCCTTTGCTGTGGCAATGCAGCGATTGGGTGGAACAGTGACCAACCTCGACCAGGCTGCCTCCTCAAGTAAAAAGGGCGAGACACTAGAAGGTATTATTTATTGATATATTTCGCAAAAAGAACATTTTGCATTTTTTATGTCATCTGAGTCACTCTTCATCCATCGTCATGTGTTGTCTGTCTTCCATCATCCGTCGTGCTTACACAATCACATTTTCGACATCTTAGAAATTGTCCGTCATATTTTGATGAAACATGGTGGTAATCGTAAGCCCATGGTGAGGATCAGAATCTATACTCAAAAACGGGCTCATTGGGGTCATTAAGTGCAAAACCTGAAACAATCATATGTTCGACTTCTTTTCAGAAACTGTATGTCATATTTTGATGGAACTTGGAGGTAAACTTGAGCCTGAGGTAGGGATAAGAATCTATACTGAAGAAGGGGCTGACCCCACCAACCCCAAAGGGTCTGAATTACAGAGACGAAAAGGGTTGAATTGGCTAAAATTTTCAGTCTCTATCCTCGGACCCAGATATGCTAGAATCAGATCCTCTAAGTGGATTTAAAGGCTTAATTTTGATTTTCATTTGCCCCTGGGTTTTTCATTCCTCTGCNAAGTTACATAGGGGTGAAAGGATTAACAGCTAAGGTCATTTAAGGACCCTCCCCCATGGTAGAGTCTACTGAAGTTACATAGGGGTGAAAGGATTAACAGCTAAGGTCATTTAAGGACCCTCCCCCATGGTAGAGTCTACTGAAGTTACATAGGGGTGAAAGGATTAACAGCTAAGGTCATTTAAGGACCCTCCCCCATGGTAGTGGGCGAGGAGTAATGTTTACTAGGATGGATAGAGGGAAATGACGTTTCTGGGTATTTTGTTGATTTTCAGTAGATTTGAATTCTCATAATGTGATTGCAGTTTATCTATTCCTCTTGAAAGGGTAACTTTTACTGTAAAGCTTATGATTTTATTATTAACATTTACTAGCCACTTATAAATGTTGGTCACTCCCAAACATTTAATAAAAGCCAATCTGCAATCAAAGACACATTTGATTATTATTATGTACTTTCATTATTTGTCACATAACAAAAACATGGGCCTCCTGTATGGATAAAGAATAACATATATTTTATAGACACTGTGATGATGATGGCTGGGTACACTGACGTTTTGGTAATCCGACACCCACAGCCTGGTGCCGTCGCTGTGAGTAACTATGTCTAGTTATACTTTACAAGTTTTATACCCTTAACTATATACATCACACTGATTAAATAAATTGTCCTTGTGAAGGACAGGTTCAGTCTCTACCCATAATGGTAATGTTACTCTTATCTCTGATGGTTGTTATTACCCTGGAGGTAATATGGGTACCTCAACATGGGTCAAAACTAAACCAGTTGCACTTACCTTCACCTCTAACAGTAACCTTTCTGTAAGTAAGATTGACATTTCTAATCGGAAATATATCTCCTTTAATGTGAACATGTGAACCTTCAGCAAGACTCACAATTGTTTAGTTGCTAATATTTACAATAACATTGTTTCATCTGTATTATAGTTGGCAGCCCAGAAATCTCGTAAACCTGTGATTAACGCGGGTGATGGAGTTGGAGAACATCCCACACAAGCTCTCCTCGATGTATTCACAATCAGGGAGGAAATCGGAACAGTCAATGGACTGGTGGTGAGTACAGGTCGGAAATAGGAACCGACAGATCTGTAATATCTCAAAAAATAAATATGCAGTATGTTTGTAAGGATTATTCTATAATTTCCTTAAAATCACTTTCTTAATATAAACAGAAATATTAAATAAAATCTTTAGATTAAGATACCACAAAATTCACAATTCACTTAAGATGGATGTTTTATATCTCGTATCACCAGTAAGTCTATTGTTGATATTGTAGGCAATGTTACAATGGACCATGAACTAATGTTGATAGTATAGTATTAAATGACAAAGTGAGAGAAAATAAAAGCTTCCTATATGAAGGGCAAAATACTTTTACATATACATGTTACCTTTCTGTACAGGTAACTATGGTTGGAGACTTGAAGAACGGTCGTACTGTCCACTCCCTTGCCAAAATACTGACCTTGTATCGGGTCACTCTCCGTTATGTGTCTCCCGATGGACTTCAGATGCCAGACAACATCAAAGAAATGGTGGCATCAAAAGGGATTTCCCAGGTATGCTGTCTCTCCATGGTGTTCACAGTACTGTGTACCCAGAGATGGTTAGCTTGCTTTAAGGTCTGATGTAACCTTAAGTGTGCTTTAGCTGTTCCTCAGGGCCAGGTGTCCAGATTGACCAAGATGATTGGGACTCATCATGGATCATCCATGGATATACTTCTGCATGTGAAATCCATTAATTTCCCATTGATACATTATTAAAACCCCATTAATCAATAATTTGTATCATTAATCATCGTAAAATGATGGGGAAATTAATGGTAATTTCATGATTGATTTTTTTTAATGGGTCAATTAATGGCATTTTCATAGTCAATGCATGCAGTAATGATCAAAGGGAAAATAGATGTTGTTTAAATGAATGGTCCCCCAACCCCACTCCTAATGGGGCAGTCCCCAAAAAGGAAATGGGATTGATCTTTCAGACCATTCTTTGAGCATGGAATGAAGTGGTTTGGATCTTAGCCTACCTTGACCAAGGGAATTGAACATTATATAAATAATAAATGTGGCTTCTATAGAGGTCAAGGGGCAGGGTCTAAAATGGGATATAAAATCAATCTTTAAGACTACTTTTAAAAAATATAAGAGGAGAGATTACTTTTAAAAAATATAAGAGGAGAGATTTTGGCCTAACTTGGCACGGACCATATCTAATACTTTTGATATTTGTTAAATGTTGTAACAGAGTGAGTATAGTAACCTAGAGGACGCTCTCCCCGATACAGATGTACTGTATATGACTCGGATCCAGAAGGAGCGTTTTGCATCGGAGGATGAATACCTGAAAGTAAGTCCATCAGTCTTTGTTAAACATCTGTTCCTTAAATTGAATTGTTGTCAACAAATTGAACTGTATTGGTCTTGATCTATCTGGGAAATTTTTAATTATGATATATACACAATAGATTGATTGATTTAGGCCAAATAAGATTAATCTTAAGTTTCTCAAGCACTGCATGTAATTTTAACGTCAGCATTAGCAAATTCTATCGCCAAAATATCTATAAAAAATATATAAAAAAAATAGACGCAGCATAAGAGTTCTGGAATTTTCCGTTTTTTATTTATATTACCGTAATTTTCTGGATGCTGGTTTTGTTGTCTGTTTATCAGATTATGAATTATAACACAACCTTGGCTAGCATATAAGCTGTTTAACTGATGTGATTGGTGTTTACTAAAGCTACCTTATGAATATTCATGAAGTGTCCTCTGATTTGATTAGTAGTAAAAGGTTTTTTTGGGGCGGGGG